ATAAGACAAGCCGTAGTACCGCTAACTCAATCGAAGAAAGACGACGCTTACTGACCTCACGAGAACAAAGAGCCTTAAAGAAAGTCGGAACTAGAAAAAATATTGTCATAGTTCCAGTGGACAACGGATGAACTAAAGTAACTTTGGACGAGGTAGAATATATCAGGAAAGCGGAGGAACTAATTGGAGACAAAAGCGTATACAAACCGATGGACACAAATCGAATCAAAAGGTTATACAACCAAATCTCAGGGACTTGAGACAAGCTTGTCGAAGCAGGAAAAATATCAGATGGATGATGAAATCCAACGGGCAAGTACTCCCTCGGTTCTACGACAGGCCCAATCCCTGGATAAAGTTAATGAGATTCAAACCAGAAGCTACGAAGTGATATGATTATTCACCACAATCAAAGAAAGTTTAGCTAAGGAAACCCTGTCCCTGCTCTTCAACAATTTTCCATATAGAATGAGATAACTGCGAATTGACCTACTGATTGAAACAATTGAAAGAAATCACATTTGATCACTATGTTCTGGAGTTACTTGATTCGGCCTCAATAAACTTTATTCATTAATCCAGGCTAAGAGTAAATCAAGTATATTTGGCTTAAAAACTTTTAGATTCTATAGAAAATGAGTCATTTCACTAGTGTTAGTATCGTGTTGTGAGTTCTAAAGAAGCTCTAGTACTAAAATACAATCCCTGAGAGCTCCTTCGAAGTTAGGTCCTCGCAAGCCTTCCGACATAGACTGAATAGGATTACTGGACAGTCAGTCAGTAACAACGTAGGACTTCGTACGTACGTACATCAGTTCGAGTTGCCACACCACATTAGCACAGAGATGCAGTTGTCGATTCAAATCCCATAGTGGTAGAGGTAATAAGAGTATAAGCAGTAATCGGGAAGATTAGGGTTTGGAGATGTTATTTAAAGAGTATAATCCAGTGAAATAAATTTGGAAACAGGAAAAAAGGGACATGAAGAATTCAGATTAGAATTTGAGAGAACACAGAGAGTGGATGCACCTGCGCCATTGCAAACGATTTTGAGCCATGTCATTCAGGGTCTCTAACCATCGGTTGCTATCATCTCGCGGTCCCCAACCAGGTAGTCTACACCTACCAACATGACTCAGTTCACTTGTCAGTGACTTCATGGACTTGTGCCATGTTTTGGTTTGGCCGCCCCTAGCTTTCTTCCAACCTACTCCTATACCACTGAACATCGCACGTCGAGGCAGTCGGTCGTTGGGCATACGTAACACGTGTCCCAGCCATCTCAACTGATGAAGTTTCACTACTTCATCAATTGATTTGCCATCCTTACCTAGTACCAGTTTCCTAACAACTGCGTTACTTACTCGATGGTCCCATGATATACGAGCAATGTTTCGAAGACACCTATGATCAAATACTAGTAGCCTACGGATATCCTCTACTCTTACCGGCCATGTTTCACTGCCATAAAGTAGGACGGAACGAACTGCTGCGCAGTAAACACGTCCTTTGGTTGATAGACGGATATCTCGCCTACGCCATAAATGACGCAAGTTGGTAAAAGCTAGTCGAGCCTTCTGTATCCGTGCTGAGACTTCGTCACACACCAGACCACAAGGGCTGATGAGACTTCCAAGATAAGTGAAGCGGTCGACACACTCAACTACTTCACTCCCTATCACTAGTTCGGGTGTCGATGTAACCCAATCCTGAAGCAACATTTTGCATTTCGAGGGCGAGAATCGCATCCCGAACATGTCTGCATTGCTGCTTAGAGTGGTCAGAAGACTCTGCATTTTGTCAGTGACTTCACCAAATAAAACTATGTCATCTGCAAATTCTAAGTCAACAAGTGAACCTCCTGGTAGAAGTTCAACCCCTGGAAATCTAGACGAGGAAAGTGTTATCTCTAGAAGTACGTTGACGACAAAGTTGAACAAGAATGGGGAGAGTGGACAGCCCTGACGAACACCACTTGAGGTAATCAATTCTGATGACAGTTCGCCATAAGCTCTCACTCTACCAGTTGTGTTCGAGTAGAGAGCCTCTATAAGGTTAATGTACTTCTTTGGTACTCCTTTCAGTGACAAACACTGCCATAGAACCTCACGATCAACAGAGTCGAATGCCGCCTTAAGGTCGAGAAATACTACCATTGTGGGGCGTCTGAATGTGTGTCTGTGTTCTAGAACCTGACATAGTGTGAATATCTGATCTATACAACCACGTCCAGGTCGAAAACCGGCCTGGTTTTCTCTAATCTGCTCTTCACGAGCTTTGATTAGGCGTCGAAGTATTATTGAAGCTAATATTTTAGACACTATATTAGTCAAACTAATTCCTCTGTGATTGTCACAAGAGGACTTTTGTCCTTTCTTATAGACTGGCACAATTAGTGATTGAGACCAGTCAGGTGGGATTACGTCCAGTTCCCAAATTCTACCTAAGACCTCGGTTAATCTCATTGCTAATACTGGACAGCCATCCTTAAAAATCTCAGGAGTAAACCTGTCAGGGCCTGCTGCTCTCCCTCGTTTCAGATTTCCTATGGCTTTTTCAACTTCGTAAAAAGTCGGAGGACCTACATTAACTTGCCATTCAGGTTGACTAGAGATCGTGGGAAACCGAAGTGTGGCTGAAGGCCAGTTGAACTGATCCCTAAAGTGTTCTGCCCATCGATCCAATCTCCTGGATTGAGAATGAATAACATGTCCATCTTTCTCTGAGATTGTTTCGCTAACGGTCGGGTTCCTAATTCCGGTTTCCTTAACGAGTCTGAACAATTGTCTGCTATTACCTATTGCCGCTGCCTTTTCCATCTCTCTTGCTTTCGCTACCCACCACTGTTCGCGATCATTGCGTAGACTTCTTGTCAGGTTGCGCTTAAGCTGACTCCGCTCTTCATTATGTTCAGAGCCAGGTGGAATGAGTTTCCGAGCATCTATCAGTGAGATAGATGCTACTGAGATCCAGTGTTGCTCCCTAACCTTCTGGTTTACCTTACTAGCAGATATCACTGCTGTTTCCACAGCTTTTCGGATATCATTCCATGCTGCCTCGGGGTGGGCATCACCTACATGGCTGCCTAACTGTTTTCCTAGTTGTTCCTGAAATATACTCTTAGTTTGACTATCATTAAACAGGACCCTAAGACGTTTCCTTGCAGCGTCTTTCTTACGTCCAGTATGACTTAGGCAAATACGCGCTCGTACTAGAGCATGATCTGAATCTAAGCATGTGTTCCAGAATGAGAGACAGTCTTCTATCGAGCCTCTCCATCGGTGGCCGATAGCGATGTGATCTATTTGGGTCCAACGTTGGGACGAATTAGGGGGTCGCCATGTTAAAAGATGTTTTTCCTTATGTTTAAAGTTAGTATTTGCAAGGAACAGGCGGTTATCTGAGCTTAGCTGCAACAGACGGTCGCCATTATCTGTCCTTTGAGCCACGACACTATAAGATCCACCTAGGTGTCTTTCCCTATCGCTTAGTTTACCTACTTGAGCATTAAAGTCACCGGCCACTAATACTACATCCGAGCGCCTAGCTTTTCGGAGAAGGTCCGAAAGCTTTCTGTAAAACTCATCTTTTACATCATCTGAGCTGCAGTCAGTGGGAGAATAGGCAGAGACGACGAAGAGGCAACGACGAGTGTCCCTATCTTTCCGGATTCTTACTGTTCCGTTCAGTCGGACAGCGCACAAACGACTGTCTACTGGGATCCACTCCAAGAGAGCTAGTTCTGCCCTAGGACTCAATGCTATACCTACGCCGGCGAGGCCACGGGAAGCAGAATCAGGGCTCCCAGATACACGAAGCGTAAATCGAGTCGGTCCTTTATTTTGGCATGGTGAGGTCAAATGAATGACGCTACTTGGATCCTGTATGCGCGTTTCGGAGACACAGCACACATCGATGGCGCGAGATTCTAAAGTTTTAGCTAAGGAAGCCTGCTGTCCTATTTGGCACGGTGTTCGGACGTTAAAAGCTCCTACGTGTAGTTTAGAGCGTGGTTTTAGGAGACCAGGAATGGCGTTCCACGTACTCGAATCGTTTGCCCTAGCGGTGCGAGGTGATAAAGAGACGTGGGAAGGGTTAGTCGGGGAGATAAGAGAGGTATTAGAAGGTGTAGGAAAGATTTGAATGTGACCACCTTGGTCTCTTGTGCTGTTACGGGTATGAGGGCTGATATCACTTCCCGGCTGCCCACACCGTGGAAGGGTACTTCTTGAGGAACCTGAAAAGGAAATTGGATTAGTGTTGGTCTTGACGACCTGGGAGCGTGACCGCAGAGCCCAAGGGACAACTGCTTGAGGCCGGTCGCGCACGGCCTTTTTGTGGAAGGTTTTTGACGTGTTAGCTCCGTTCTTCAAAGGGCCTTACCGCCGGAGACGGAAATCCGTGAGGTAAGGTGAGGTGTGACATTTTTAGGGTCGACCTTTTCTAACCCCACCCCTCCTTGTGGGAAGGCAGCATCGCTGTCATGCTGGATGTCCGAGGGAAACACCTTACTGCTGTCACACCCCTCTACAGTCAGCAGTACGACTTCGCCCTCAGACCTTGAGTTGCTGCTTTTAGTCTTACCGTTCACCAATCGACCTGCCTGGCATGGTAGAACCTGCAGGAACATATGTTCCAGCCAATATAGCTCGGTTGGGTCATCACGATAGGCAAGCCCGACCACCGCGTCAAGGTAGCAGCTTCGATCGGGAATAGGATTACTGGACATTATACAGCTCTAAAACTTCCGGAAACCTCTTTAGAGTAACAAACCTTATCTAAAAAGCAAAAATTATAGCCTTAATAGCCAATAGTAACACGTGCTATCTTCAGAAAAGTATAGTGTAGCACCGTTTGAAAGTTAGGTGTTTAACACCAATAACATGAACTTCAAGACATAAAATTAAAAACTTCATCCAAAACATTCTTTGACATGCTCTTCATACCCACTGAACAGACGAAATTCTTTATAAGATAATTTATTTTTATATAAAAAATGCTTTGTGAATTTAATATAACTCCAATGGCCACAACGGATTTCAGCTGTTAGTACAGGTGGGTTTTTATGAAAGTATGATCTCCCAACTATTAAATGTGAGCGCTTCGCCACTTTTCTTCTCCATCAACTAGATTGGATGGTTGCTCAAATCATCTATACTGACGAATGAATGCACTCACTAGTGTTTTGGTCTTTTCCCTAAGATGTACCACGAAATCTTCCTAACACATCCACATAATTTATCCACCTTTCGTTCTTGAGCGCATTTGTTTGGTTGGAATGTTTGCATTTCAAACAAATATTGCCACCGTGACAATTGTGGTATGGATATTCGAACCGATGTACGTACCTACGAAGTTCTACGTTGTTGACTGAGTGGTAAATCCTGTTTATCATTAGGTTTTCTCCTGCAGTCGCATAAAACGCATATCTAAAATGAAAGCAGAAACCTCATACTGAAGTTTTATTTACAACGCATAACAACCAAGCTGCAATATACCACGCCACTGATCATTAATTGCTTTCAAACTGTTTATCAGATCAGAACTTCAAGTGTGTACTTACAGCGTTTTGTTTCGATCAGTGGTTTTTTATCCCCAGGCTTAGTGGTCGAAAATCTGTGACTACAACATTTTCGAACCAGGACAGCATTTGGTGGAAAATGAGAGCAGAATCTCAGACAAAATATAAGGAAAAGTATCATGGAATATTAAACCTAAGACTCATTGTCATATTGTTAGTAAGCGTTTTAAAGCAACATTAATATGTACTGTTTAATATCTAGTATACGAAACACAAAAACCCTACCTAACGTTCCTGTAAGTTCATTTTAATATAGTAATAAAATGACATTTAATAAACTGGTCCGAATTGTTAAATTTTTAATTTAATTCACTGCTGTAGGTTACTATCTTTAACATAGCACTGGATGTCATTCATCACAAGTTTGTCAAAGTATGGGCGACTCATACCAATCTATGATAACTGCACTTCGGTGATAGTGATTAAACATAATGACTTTTTTACATTAAGGATACAAGTCCAGACGTGATCGGTGACTTGTGAAGAATCGATTACTTTTGTAAGATGAAATAGAAAAACATGAATTGTTCGAAACAAAAACGAAGTCCTCCAGTAAATAATTTGCAATTTTACTATAAATACATGGATTATATCACACTATAAGGGATGAAAGATCACAGTCTGAAACATGGGGGGTTATAAATATATACCTGAGGGAATGATAACACAATAAGGGATAATTCAGTGTTTTTGTTGAACAAGAGTTGAGAGATACTTCACATGAGCCATCACTTCTGCCTAAAGAAATATAATTAGAGATAATGAGTTAAGAATAAACTGGAAATCAATGTAGTACAAATAATGCGATTGGAAATATAAATAATTTACTAAGTGAAGCGGTGTATGTACGTATATAACCGTTACATACCTAATTGATGTGTACATTCATAGCGATCTTAAGTTGACAACTTCAGTATCAAATGGAAAATTGATTATTGTATTTACCATAGAATTTCTTTGCATCAAAGTCACACTTTAACTGCCTATGAATTAGCATTTATTCATTACGATACAACATATACTGTGGTGTGAGATACTTATATCCACATAAGTAGTATATAACGATAGTCAGGAATGGAATGTATTTCAGTAGAAGATCGAGAAGGAAAGAACGGGAACGGAAGGCAATTGGTATGAAAATGCAGAAACAGTGAAATCTAAGACGATGGGCTGATATTTGTAAAAGAAACAGTCAGGTTTGAGACATTTGATTGATATTTTGCAAATTAACTATTTACTGTATTGTTCTCAGATTTTAGTAAGACGTTCTGTCATTTTACGCTCAAACACATTCGATTGTCCCCACTCGTGTTCTTGTGCACCACAATACATCGTTACATAAACTAACAATTATTTTTGAAAAACTGCTGACATATGTACTAATTTCACAATTCTTAATCACCAAGAGCATATACACTGGACTTTATTTATTAAGTCACTACGCCCTGTATCACGAAAATTGAAATTCATCTGATGAAAAAGCAAGACTTGTCAAACCCAAAGAAATCAAATAATCTACCCATAGTTCAGTGGAACTTTTTGTTACCGAAGTGTTAATCTAAGCTGACACTTGAAAAAGTCACCTTAGTTAAGTTTAAACTCCCGTTAAAGTCCTTCTAGGGTTAGAACTAGTTTCAAGCACGGGTGAGAGAGGCCTAGGTATAGAGTTAACAACCACATCCCAAAATGACAATAAAATTCTCCCAACCCCCCTCTTCTGACAACTAGAGCGACAATTAATGCAGCTACATGGAATGTCCAGACTGTGTAGGAATCCAAGAGGGTTACTCAAAAGGCGGCAGAAATTACAAGATACAACTTCGCTCTGCTTGGAATAAGTGAAACACATTGAACAGAAGCTGGAAAGGAAAGACTAGGTTGGGCAGAATCGTTATTCTGCACTGATCATGAAGAAAATGTACCCCACCAAACACAAGGAGTTACAATAACCATCTTCAAAGAAGCACGAAAAGTACTTATGCGGTGGGAATGTTATGGTTAATTATTCATCATAGGGTTTCTCTAAATAAGTTAGTCAGCTACAACGTAGGACCAGGCACATATATGCATCGGTCGAAGTTGCCATACCTCATTAGCACAACAAGATGATCACCAAACGCATAGAAGCAGTTACTTTAATGGTAGTATATAAAAAAGCATTTCATATAAGGATCTGATACAGGGAGAAAGAATTAGTCCGTAGAAAGAAAGGTATAAAGCAATTTTAATCTCACGGTTTAAGGGTAGAAAGAGAGTATATACACCTACGCCATTGTGATCGATTCTGAGCCATGTCACCAAGTCTCCAACCAGTGGTTACGAGGCACGCGGACCCCAACCAAGTAGTCTGCATCTACCAACATGGCTCAGACTAGAAGTTAGTGGCTTAAAGCATTGATACCATGTTTTACTTTGGCCATAGATCTACTGATGGAAATAACATTCTCGTCTACAAAATTCTCAGGTATTGATCTCCTTCCAGGAGGTTCACTTATCGACTTAGAATACACAGATGATATAGTTTTGTTTAGTGAAGACGCTGATAAAATTCAGTCTTTTGATAGCACTGAGCAACAATACCAGTATGTTTGGGATGCGTTTTCCCCCCTCTAAATGCAAGTTGTTGCTTCACGATTGGCGTGCATCAACACCTGAACTAAGGATAGGGAGTGAAGTAGTCGAACGCGTCGACAACTTCACTTATCTAGGAAGTTTGACCAGCCCTAATGGGTTGGTGTCTGACGAAATCTCAGCACGGATTCGAAAAGCTCGCTTGGCTTTTGCCAACTTACGTCACCTATAACGAAGGCGGGATATCCGTCTATCAATTAACGGACGAGTATACTGCGCAGCAGTTCGCTCTGTTCTTCTTTACGGCTGCGAAACGTGACCATTAAGAGTAGAAGATACTCGTAAGCTACTAGTATTTGATCACAGATGGCTTAGAAATATTACTTGCATCTGTTGGGATCACCGGGTAAGTAATAGTGAGGTTAGACGTAGGGTATTAGGGAATGATGGTAAATCAGTTGATGAGATTGTGAATCTTCATCGACTGAGATGGTTGGGCCACGTGTTACATATGCCTGAACACCGATTATCACGAAGCGCACTGCTGACTATTGTTGGGGATGGTTGGAAGAAAGTCAGTCAGCTATAACGTAGGACCAGGCATATATATGTGCATCGGTCCAAGTTGCCATACCTCATTAACACAACAAAATTGACACCGGATTCATAAAAGTAGTTAATTCAGAGGTGGTAATATATAAAAGAAAGATTGCCATAAGGATATAGTACAGGAAGAAAGAATTAGTTCGTAGGAAGAAAGATATGAAGCAATTTTAATCTCATAGTTTAAGGGAAGACAGAGAGTGTATACACCGACGCCATTGTGATCGACTCTGTGCCATGTCACCAACAGTCTCCAACCAGTGGTTACGATAGTCACGTGGATCCCAACCAAGTAGTCTGCATCTACCAACATGGCTCAGACTGGAAGTTAGTGACTTCATGGACTGATGCCACTTTTTGGGTTGGCCGCCCCTAACTTTCTTCCAACCATCCAAAACACCGGTTAGCATTGCACGTCGTGGTAATCGGTGTTCAGGCATACGTAACACGTGGCCCAACCATCTCAGTCGACGAAGATTCACAATCTCATCAACTGATTTACCATCATTCCCTAATACCCTACGTCTAACCTCAGTTGATCGGAAGTAGACTTATCCCCCGATAGTTGTTACAGGAACGACGTGAACCCTTCGTGAACAACACAGTCAGTTCCTTAGCCAGGAAGTCACCACCATCTTTAAAAAGAGCCAGAGGTAAGTCATCTGGGCCAGGTGATTTGTAACGCTTCAAGAGTTGGAGTTCCTTGCGGACTTCCTCCTCGTTTGGTGGATCAGTCGTCACCGGCCATGGAGGGCAGGACAGTCTGACCGATGTTGCTGGAGCAGCAGGCCAGTTGAACTGCCCTTCGAAAAATCCTGCCCACCGTCCAAGACGTCGATGAATGTTAGTGATTGGCATCCCATCATCCTCGCAGATTGATTCACTCACAGCAGACTTCTTGCTGCCAGTGGCTCGGATGAGTTGGAAGAGCTTCCGGTAGTTACCAGATGCAGCTGCCGCTTCCAGCTCATTAGCACGCTCCGACCACCAGGCTTCTCGGTCCTTACGCAAGCTTTGCCCAATTTCCTTACGTAACATCCTTCGTTTATGGTCAAACTCACGGTCACCCGGAGTAGACCGACGGGCTTCAATGAGTTGTAAGGAACCAGAAGAAACCCAGTGCTTAAAAGCGGGATGTTTCGCAAACCCACAACTGACTTTTCCCGCCATTTTCATGGCGTCATGCAATTGCAACCAATGCTCATCTATACTTTTCGGTGGAGTGGTAGCTAGCTTAGAGGCTAGCTCGGTTCGATACTTATTTGCAACAGAAGTTGCAACCAGCTTGCTAATATCAATCCTTTGCTGGCGGTCACTTCGTTGGCCACTGAAAAGTAAGTTAAGATTGGCGCAGACCAAGGTAAGGTATGATCAGAGTCCAGATAGGTACTCCAGAAGGAGCGTCAATCTTGTACACAACCACGCCAGCTGTAGCCGATCGCGATGTGATCAATCTGAGTCCAGGCTTGAGATGCAGAGGGAGGACGCCAGGTGGCACATCGGCGATGACTGTGCCGAAAGTTAGTGCTAGCCAGAAACAGGTTGTGGTCTGTGCACAGTTGCAGTAGACGGTCCCCGTTATCTGACCTGCGACCAACAAGTCCCCATCGAACACCTAAACGACTCTCTTCTGTGCCTAGACGCCCGACCTAAGCATTCAAGTCTCCGGCTAGTACTACAATATCTGTCGAACGCACTTTCTGGAGAAGAACTGATAACTGGTGGTAAAACTCATCCTTGATTGCATCCGGGCTGCAATCTGTCGGGGCATAGGCGGAGATGACGAAAAGACATCGTTTCTCACGCCGATTTCTTCTCACTTTGATGGAACTTTCTAATCTAACAGCACATAACCGACTGTTAATGGGGATCCAATCGACTAGTGCTGCCTCAGCTCTAGCGCTTAGTGCGACACCAACGCCTGCAAGACCAGACGAAGATGCCACAGGGTCCCCGGATAAGCGCACGTAAAACAAGCTTTTTGAAGTGACAGATGTAGAGCGAATTTGTAGTACTTCTCCAGAGTCTTGAATACGGGTCTCGGATAGACAACAAACATCAATATTAAGACTTTCCAAAGACATAGCCAGCCCTATCTGTTGACCAACCTGCATAAGTGTGCGAACGTTGAAGGCAGCCAGTTTGAATGGCGCACGTGGTTTCAGAAAAACTGCTTCAGTACTCATATTCGATGGTAACATACAATTTTCAACCGGGCAGTGACTCGAGAACGTTTAGATACAGTCGGATTTCCACCAAAGAAGAGCCGCTGTATAAGTATAAAAGAGGGTGAATAATGTGGAAAATAATAATAGTAATAATAATAATAATAACGACAATAATAGTAATAATAATAGTATTAATAATGACAATAATTGTAATGATAATAATTTGAATCGACTGATTGTTTTTCGGGGCGAGAAAAGTGGTTGCCATAGACATAGAGTTCATCGTTTGTGTGTGGGCTGTGATACTGCCCGGGTGCCCAAACCGAAGCAGGTGGTTATCTTAGGGGGTCACTCCCCGAGCCTTTGACCTAAAGGTCTAACCCACAAGACAGTGGA